TAATGTGTTTTTTTGAGAGAAAATAAATAATTTAAATTTTTTAGAAAAAAAATCAAAATTATGAAACAACATTTTGCAATTTAATTTGGAATCTGCAAAACCGAATGTTTTGAAATCTTGCAGATGTATTAAAGTTATGATAAGCATGGTAAATTTTTAATCAAAATGTATTTGGTCATCCCCCTAAAAAATTGCTGAGGTCAACCCAAAATTTAGCTGAATAAGTCCTATCTAAAATGTATAAAATATGATGACTCTGTACATGTGATGTACTATTCCATTAATACTTTTTAAATTTCCATATACGGGCTGTTTCAAAAAATTTAATGACACTGAGTCAATTTATTTTATTGATTAATTCAGGGACTGCAAAATCAAATGCTTTGAAATCTTGCAGACATTTTGAAGTTATTGTAAGCATAGTAAATTGTTAATCCAAGTATATCTATTTGTTCTCCCCAAAGAATTGAGGACGTCATCTTAAAATTTTGCCGAAAAAATTCTACCTAAAATGTCCGAAATATGAGTTTTTACTTGTGACAGTATTACCCTACACCAGTCCAAGTTTATACATACACGTGTCCTTGTAAAAATGTTAATGACGTCATCACAAAATTGTGTAAAACGACTCGAAAATGCTCTATCGGAACAACTTTCGACCAATTTTTTAAACTTATGCTTAAAAAAGTTACTCTAAATACTATTTTTTAACAGGTTACCCCAAGATATTTTTCAAACTGCAAAGGTGGCCAAAGTATTAATGTTGTTAGAAAAAGGCAGAGGAAGACAATTTATAAGAAAAAGCCTCGATGAAATAGAAATAGACAAGGATATGTATTTAAGTTCTGATGACGAAGACCCTTTTCGTAATACAGCTAGTTTTGAAAATGTTGAAAGTGAAGAAATTTCACAGGTTGGGCCGGAAAATGCAGAATGCACGGAGAACACTTCTCAACTTAATGCTGAACCAGGTCCTTCAAGCATGGAACCTCCAGTTAAAAAAGGTGCCTAATTATTCAGTTAAGATCCATAACAAGTTGTTACGGAGTATTAATTTTAGGAGAAAAGAAAATAAAACCATGTGGCCGCGTTCGTTGGACAGAAACTGAAAAGAAAATTGTTACAGATTACTTCAAACTGCATATTCAAAAGAAAATCACACCAAAAAAACATGAATGTGATGAACTGCTAGCTAAGCATGCTGATGTTTTTTTAAACAAGGATTGGGTGCGCATTAAAACTTTTGTGTACAATGTGTTTAGACAAAAGTAAAAATCTAGTTCTTTAATAAAACCTATTTTCATAATTTTTGTTTCTAATTTGATTTTTGCAACGGGTCAGCGGCTTTAAAATATGTACTTTAACGCCGCTCATGAGTGGAGTTAAAATAAAAAGCTGTCAAATTATAATTATTATTTATTGAAATGTAAATTGAAAGTACAGTTACTAATATTTGCATTTTGAAAATTACAAGCACTAGAAAAAGCCGAGTCCTATACATCATCAGCTATACTTATAGTCAAATTAACAGTATTGACACAATTCATTGAAAATCCCTGGGAAGGTTCCTCGGAAGGTTTTTATAGCAGACGTACTTGCAATGCTCTTTGTTGTTGATAAAATTTTAGTTGCTATTTCTTTCTTGTTGGCTAAAGAGTCTTCAATATAGCCGTCAGCTACACTGCTGGGCTTCCAACCTCCATGTCTTTTTAAGCATGTAAGATTGGCTCCACTATGTGGATTACACTTGTGGAAGCAGTGTAGCTGAGTGCGCCGAAGACAGTGCCCTGTATACTCTTTGTAATGCGGTAATTTCAGATAAGATGCAACATCCTTGGGTACTATGAATACCCATTACAGCACGATGACATTTTGCTTTGCAATATTTTAAGAAAAAACGTCGTTCCGGAATATTTTCTAGTCTCAGCGAAACATATTTTCTACAGATGCTTATGTAAGGTTCTCCAATGACTGTAAACGATCGTTTCTTATGCGTTTTTGAATCAGGAATGTTGATCAAAAGCAGAGATCCTAGATCCTGGACATCGCTGGTTCCTTTTTTTATCATTTCGTCACAACGGCAACCAGCCGCTTTTCGAATCATCAAAATTACCTAAACATGAATACTATCTAGTTTACTTATATCGAAATACTGAAAACTAACCTTCATTGCCAAATATTCGTCATCCGGAGCTTCATTCAAGAACTTTTCAAATTGGTGAACACCTTCGACTTTTTCGGAACATAGCCTTCACTCTGTTTTTTCAGGTACGCACGCAGTTTTAACTACTTGCTGATGTATACTCCTTCTTTAATGTTCAACAAAGATCGTATCATTGAGTATTGAGACCATAACGACGAACATTTCATTTTTATAATAATAATAATAATAGTTTATTTACGGGAACCCCCATGATATTACAGAAAAACAAAAATATAAGAATAATACAAAATAACTAAACTAAGGTAACTTAAATAAACTTACACTTTTTGTGGAGAGTTCACGAAAATACGGCAATAATAGATATTTATTTTATTAGGAGTTTAAGTGATACTTTATGTGACGGAGTATGGACGATTAAACTCCGAATGAAATACAATATTTTATTTTCAAACGATTAATCTTCTTTTGAAATGATTATTTCCGATCTTCTTGCTTCATTAAGGAATTGCCTTGATTTCACTTACCATGGCTACTATGGTTGACAACCACTATGATTTTCACATATTTATACTCGGGCGGAGTATAAATGTTTTATTTATACGCCGGCGGACTATAAGTAGTACTTATACGCCGCTCAAACACGGTGTCATAGAAATGACACTTAAACCTCGGTAAGATCGTCATATAAATGTCAGTTATATGACGTTTGAAAATAAAACAATTTCCGAATAATTTTCAGCGTTTTTTTTCTTGCACGATTTAATAAATTTGCTGTATGTGGCTTCATATAATGCACACTTGATTTTGTTGGGAGTAAATTGTTTACAGCTTTTGCTGCAGCCTAAACAATTTCAAAAGGTCTGTTTACTTCTTCTGCCATTTTCTAGGCTCTACCTGCTACAAAAATAATGCTGTAATATCTAAAATGATTATAATTATAGAGAAATACTTACCAATATTCGTAAAAACACGTAAGAAATTGCGAAAAATTGGAATCTTTTTTATATTGACAATGATGTTACAGCAACTGGCCACAGCAAACTAACAAATCGTAAGCGTAAACGTAATTTTCAGGGGCAAATTCGGTCTTAAAGCAAATTTGGAGCTCGTTTGGGGAAAAAATAGCATATTTTATTCGGAGCTAAATATTTTTTTTTGCTCGTCTGTTATTACTGAACTCACTACGTTCGTCTGGCAAACCTACAAACTCGCCAGAAAAAATAATGTTTTAGCTCCTCATAAAATAATATACTATTTGTTACTCAGAGAAAACAGCAATTATTATTCGGTCTATGTTTTTTTATTGAGAAACATTAAAATAAAAAACTACAATCAGTTGGTCTGAATCATTTAAGCGTTTATTTTTACAACTCCAGAGCAACCATTTTAATTCCAAAAATGAAATAATGTGTATAGCTCCCATAGTTCTGAAAAAGCTAGTGTCTTTTTACAAAGAAAAGACAATACAAAAAAACATACTGCATAATTTTGAGAAAGCTATTCTAACACAGAATAAATTGACATAACTCTAGATTTTTTTTGTAATAAAAAACAAATGGATATTGATTTTTTTGTATTTCTGAAAGTAGATGCTAACGTTTTGGAAAGACTAACTTTAAATTTCTAAAAAAAAAAAAAATGGTTTAATTACTTACAACCACTTTAAAATAGTAAAATTTGTTTTTACTTTGGTTTTGGAAAATGTGGTGAAGGACATAAACTTGCGCTGAAAACAGCTGCTGCAATTGAGAAAAAAAATGTTTGTACACAACTCTGAAAATGCTGTTTTGAAGCAAAGAAAAGAAATGTTTCAGTTTTAAAAACAGCTGTCCTATTGATAAAAGAATTGTTTCAGTAGTATAAAATACTGACGTACCTATTTGTAAAAAAGGTTCTTAAAAGAATTCGTAGTTTTAAAATGTACTGCTAAAGTTTCTAAAAGAATTAACAAAAAGGAATTGCCACAGTTTTACAACTGATAAAATTCGGCAAAGAACTGGCAGTTTAAAAAAAATGGTGCAGTACCGAAAAGACCATAAATAATTTATTTATTAAAGAAAATATAACTTATTCAATAGATATTTTGTTTTTAATTTGTCAAAATAAATGTAGGTAAATAACTTCACTTCATAGATATTTAGTTATATGTACAAAGTTCAAAATTGGGTACCTAGCGCAACCAAAGTAATTCTTTCCTAAGCGCTCCCAAACAGACATAAACAGTGTTGACAAATTTAGGGCTTTGCATAATTCGCAGCAAATAGTTGGTTCTTATAATCCGCCATGTCGCTGCACTTTGTATATTTTATATACAGAAAAAAACTGGGACGCCCCCTTCAGAAAGATGGTGTGAACTATACCCCGTGTATTTGCAGATACAAGGCATCATTACTGAGCCTGCATTAATTCTACATTTTTGTTAATACCAACTTAACGGTAAAAACTACGACGATATACGCGTGATTTTTACGAAGCCCACTTCAACTAGGATCTTTCCAGCATATTATATTTTATCAATACCAACCCAACCGCAAGAAATAAATTATAATACACATGATTTTTACGAAGCCCGGTTTCGGGCTTCGTAAGTCGGTGTCGGGTTTAGTAGAAGCTGTGGAATATAGCATTGTGGGCTTCGTAATGGACGATTACATGTCTATATATATATATATATATATATATATTGAACATGCCAAATTCATTTTTTATGTTGTAAAATAATTGAAATATTTGAGTGGAACCGGTATGCTGGGACACCCGGTATAATAAGGACGTACAAAACAAGTGTTTTTTTCTCTTAAAAAATTTATATAACCAGTATACAAGAAAGAGTGGATGTAGATACACTTGTTTGTTTATATTTATCAGTGATAACAATCAATCAAGATAACTGCAATAAGTACCTATATGTAGCAAAAAATAAACCTAGTTGTAAAAATATTTAATTTATCAAATTTAAACTCTTCTCACTTTTAATCTAATACCATTTTGAGAGGACAATACCAGACCATTGGCATTCAGTTTGATTTTTTGTTTGGTTTCTGAAGTAGCCTCGACGACAAAATTTTTGATTATGTTAGCTAGTCCAAACGTTACTGTCATCATTCCAAACCTTGAACCTAGAATAGAAATATAAAAAATAACGAAAAACAGTTGTAAATGTAAAAAATTTACCAATACAATTCCGAGGACCTTCTCCAAATGGTAAATAACTGTAATTTTCTATTAAGTGCTTATTGTCGGAAGAAAAACGTTCCGGATCAAATACTTCTGGGTTTGGAAAATATTTCGGATCATATTGTAATCCCAAAAGCGAAATAAACACAGCAGTATCTTTTTCAATAACAGTATTAGTTTCAGGAATAGTGTACCGGCTGTTGCTTTTTCTTTCTAGTACAGGCAACACAGGATATTTTCTTAACGTTTCTGAAATTACATTGCATTAGTTTATTAGATATTAAAATTTTTCAGTACATACCTTTCACGCACATCTCCAAGTACGGCATTTTCTTTAAAGAATCATAATTAATGCCGCCATGTTCTTTTGATATTTCAGTAATTTCATTCCGTAATTTTGTCTGGATCTCAGGATGAAGTGCTAGTTCATGAAGTGCAAATCCCATTGTTGAACTACTTGTCTCAAAGCCAGCGGCAAAGAAAACAACAGCTTGAGATGTTAATAAGTCACCATCTGAAAGTTCAGTTAATGTTGTTTAACAGAATAGAAATGGATATTACGCACCTAAGAAATTTTTATCATCATGTTTCAACTGAAGCAAGATGTCGATTAAATCATTTCTATGACTTTTAGAATTTACGCGAGTGTGCATAATATCCCAAAAACTTTCTTCCAAAAATTTTATAGAAGTAGGATGAAATAATTTTAGTCTAAATATTTTCACCAACGAATGAGCCAGAAAGTAACATCTTATTCTAAATGAAGTCAAAAAGTTGTCCCAATTAAACATTCTCTTAGCTTCCTCACAGAAACGTGAATCATCTTTGAAAGAATTGGAGTCTACACCAAATGCCGTAGAAGTAATTACATTTACGGTAAATTTCAAACACACTTCTTTCATTTCTATAACAGATTTCCTTTCGACTTGTGTATTTAAATAATTTGTTAACTCAGTGGAAGAATTTTCTATTAATTTCGACATCGCTTTCATTTTTGATGATGTAAAGACAGGAGTGATTTTGACTCTCATCTCTCTCCAGTCCGGATTTTTCAGAAAAAATAATATGTGGGTTCCGATAGGGTCATCCCTTTTATTATTCATGACATTTCTGTCAAAAAAATGTTGAAAATCTGTAACTAAAATCCTCTTAATCACTTCAGGATCTCGTAGAAGTAAGCATGGTTTGTCTAAGATAAAAAGTCCAAGCACAGGTTCTTTGCTTTTCTGGTATAATGTTGAAAATATTTCTCCAAAAGCTTGACGCATCAGTATTCCATCGATAATATTCCCAAAGAAAGGTAAAGGTTTTAGAAATGGTACATTTTTGTTTTTCCAGTGGTTGAAGTGTCTTGTAAAGTACCAGTACAAAACCAGAAAACTTGCCACTATTAAATACACCAGCACCATATTCACAAAAATCGACACCTAAAACCACGAATACACAGTTTTAGTCGCACATAAATTACCATGATACGTTCATGTGTCAATATTTTTATTTAACGCGATAAGGAATACTTGTCACCAAATTATCAATTCTGTTCTGATAAATTTAATGTACATACGAGTACGTATTTACACTGATCATTATATTATCAGCGCGTTAGAAATCTTTAATAAGGAAGTCTTCACATCTGTACTTTTAGTGTACACATCTTACCGACTGACGTTTTTGCACGAGTCTTGCAGAACACAAATTCGCAGACTTCAGACTCCGGCAGTTTTTAAGCAATATTTGCATTATCTAACTATTGAATTACGGTGCAAAATTTGAATACAATTTTATTGATAAAAACATGAGTATCCGATATTTTTGTTGTTAATCATGGTCAACAAGTTTTTTTATCTTTACGTTGCAAGTTTAAGAAACTTTTAGTTTATGAGTGTCATCCTCATCGTATGTAAACTGTTCTAAATTAAAGACGATTTGTTTCTCGGTAAAAAAATATTTATAAAATTATATCTACACTTCTATACTTCTATACTTATAATATAAAGGTTGTAGTGTTTGTTTGGTTGAACGTGCTAATCTCAGAAACTACTGGTTCGAATTCAAAAAATCTTTTTGTGTTGGATAGTCCATTTATCGTATCTACATATAGGCTATATAACATCACGCTACGATCAATAGGAGCGAAGTAGCAATGAAAAATTCGGAAAAACGGGAAAATTATTCCTCCTTTGACAGCTTCCGTTGCTTACGTTGCTTAAACGGTTAAAGTTACGTAAAAATCATGTATGACGAAATTGTTCCCCTCTAAAAGTTCTAAAGAAAAGTGCGCGACAGCATATGTGTATCTTTTAAGGTCGACTCAGTATAACCTTTTTTATGGTAATGAAATTTGTTCTAAAACAATAATGCATTATGTATAAAATTATCGCCTAACAGAGTTTGTAATCGAACTCCTTCAAAATGGGTTGACCGATGTGTATGAAATTTTTTATGTATATTTGATAGGTCTGAAAATGGGTTGTAAATTATTTTTTATACCCCTAAGTGATAAGGGTGGCCCACCCTAAAATATTTTTGTTTATTTTTTGGACAAAATTACATATAACTCTAAATTTTCACCTTTCTACCACCAACCCCCATTTTTTAATCTTCTATATAATCAAAATCAGTTGCTGTTCCTGTTAGTCTCGCTAAAACTCAAAAACTGCTTGACCGATTCGAAGAATTTTTTATATTACGGGATGGTTTATAAATAAAAAAATATGGAAAACTTAAAAAAACAGCTAAAAAATAAAAGAATTCTAAAAATTTTGTATGGGAATTGCCACTTCGAATTAATTTCAATAGTTGGCGTTCCTGACGGACCTGTCGTCTAACTGACGTGTCATACAAAACTATTTCTTCCGTGTGCAGTACATAGAGATTTCCATCTCAAGGTGTCTACCCCATACTAACTTATATTTTGGTGACTCGATTTTTGCGTTGATGGTTGAACACTGTCACTGTTTTCCTTTTTTGTTGTATCGAGGTGCTAAGTACTTGACCATCAACTGTTACCTACTGAAGTATTAGCATCACCTAGAAAAACTAGAAATATTTTGATTTGATATTCGAGTAGATACTTCGTATTTCGAGTATGAGCATCTACTGAGTTTTATTTATATCAACCATGCATTGTCAAAAAATTGATCGAATGTTGTTTCGACAGAACTTCCTTCGCACCAAAAGTACAATGAAACATATTCAGCATTTTCGAGTTGAGTCTTTTCTTCACACAATTTTGTGATGACTATTAATCAACATTTATGATCAACACGTATACCACCTTGGATTGGTGCAGTGTAATACTAAAAATAACTATATTGTATTCCCAAAATTATCTGCAAAAATCGAGTGAGCCGTTCCATCAATTTTTTGGGGGGAATAAATAAATATTGTCAACAATTGACCATAACTTTAAAACGTCTGCAAGATCTCAAAGTATTCATTTCTGCAACTCTTGAGATATTCACTAAAATAAGTTGACTGATCCATACATTTTTTTGAGTCACTGTAAAAGCAAATCCAAAAAATATGAATGCAATGATAAATTACGAAAATATACTGATGATATTTTGCTCATTTTAGATAGGATTTATTCGGCAAAATCTTGAGATGATGTCATCAAGTTTTTGGGCTTGATAAACAGATATATTTTGATTAAAAACCTACCATGTCAAACAGTAACTTCAAAACGTCTGCAATATTTCAAAATTCAGTTTTGCAATTCTTGATTCAATCAATAAAATAAATTGACTCAGTGATTAATTTTTTTGAGACACCCCCTATAAGCAAAATTAAAAAATATGAATGGAGTGATAAATCACAAGTATAGTCTCATCCTATTTTGGACATTTTAGATAGGATTCATTTGGCAAAATTTTGGGCTGACGTCATCAAGTTTTTGGAGGGGATAAGTAAATATATTTTGAATAAAAACTTATTATGCTTATCATATGTTTAAAACATCTGCAAGATTTCAAAGCATTCGGTTTTGCAGATTCAAAATTAAATTGTAAGTGAAACGAAAGTTCACGGATTCAACTAGTATTTATATCAAATAAAAAGTATAGGTGGATTAATAAACCATACATATGGACCTTAGTACCACGCTTCCCTTGCTTATAGTCGGGAAGTAACAAGAATAACCAGACCTAAAAGTTATAGATGTAACTAGGTAAAAAAGAAAAAAAGTGAGTTTATACATACATTCCTATCGCATTTAATGAAAATACATTACAGTTATACAGGGTGTTTCTTTTATTTGATACAACCCCTGTAACTTTTTTATTCTTGAAGATAAACCCGTAGTTCTTTAACCAAATTTGTATCATTCTCAAAGATTTATATGATGGTAAGCACACATTTTTATTATCACTGGCGGTAGAACCGCAAATGACGTCAACTTATTTTTTTTTAATGGAACACTAGGTATATTTTTTCATAAATGGAAAGATTGATTTTTTCACTACAAAAAATCACAAGCAACCAATATTCTAAAATCAATAATAAAAAAGTTATTTAGTAAAATATCTCCAAAATTTTCCGTTTATTTCAAAATCTAGTTGCTTGAAAAACAATTGAAAAATTGTTGTCATCACTAGATCTTTTAAAATGATACAAATTTGCTCAAAGAACTACAGATTTATCTTTAAAAATAAAAAATTTACAGGGGTTGTTTCAAATAAAAGAAACACCCGGTATACATCAGAGCATTTTTTTTAGCATGTCTAACAACTAAAACATTTCAGAACCACTGGCCAAATGTGTCGAGTAATTTCTTTTTGTTTTTAGTATGTGACGATTTCTTTTTCTGTATGGCTTATCTTTTATAACCTCATTTATTTCCCTATATCGTTAGTGGCAAAGTGAATCCACATGTTTTGTTTACTATCATGAATATATTAAGGTAATAATGGATATTTTGAAAAAACAAACATTTAGCATGAACACAAAAGTTTAACTAAAGGCAAGGTGCAAAATAATAAACTATGAAAAAAGCCCTAGTTAGGTACTTTAAATAATTGCGTCGTGTTTAAACCACTGTGATTGTCACAATTGCTTTTACAAAAACTAAACAATAGAAGTGTGAGATTTAAAATGTACTAAAGTCTTATTAATGGGTACTCATATCAGTGCTACTGCTGAAAATAACAGTCGTTGAAAAACAAAAAAGTACTTTTGTAAAGTATATAATTGCAGAGTATGACAATATAATAAAAAAGATATTTCAGATGAGTTCTCCAGCAACTGAAAATGATTTATTTTCTTCTAATGAAAACTTGTTCCTTTCACATCTACAACATTTTAAATAGAGTTAAAAACATGAATATAGTGAGGTTTTATTATGTGATTTTAGAAGTAACATTTCTCGAAAAATGGCACACTGACGCATGATATGTAAGTACATTGCTTATAAGTAGATAGAACAATTTTGATATATTTTTTTTAATGAGAAATTAATTAACAGATAAAATCATTTAATAAAAAATATTATGTTGTTTAGCCAGTTTAAATAACAATTACATAACATGTGATAGTGAATTAATTTAATTATATAATATTTGTTTGCATATGCAGCTTTGAAAGTGGAAAAACCATTATCAGTTCAATGCCTACTGAAACCGTAAACACCCACACAAGGCATTAAAATGATAGGTAACATCATTTATCATTAAATTAAATCTTGCATGTCCCTGCTCTATTTCGATGTGATTACAAAAAATTAAAAGGAGCCACGTATTCCAAGTTCCATCATTTCTCAGCTAGTAAATATCACTGTACTATTCCTACTGAGTGCGACTTTTTAAAAAACAAATTCATTGTAAAAATCAGTTTTCCAATATCTTTCTCTCTGACGTCGTTTCTTAAATTAGTCTAATATTTGTATTTTTAACTCCGGTTTTTGATAAATATCTACCGCTCTAATCACACTTAAATGAAATATTGCTGTTTGTGGTGCAGAGGTCAACGTTAAAATTAATTTTCATGGTTTACAATAATAAACAAATTCACAATCTTTTACGCCATACTCTTCTTTTTAAAGTAACTTATTTGTTTTTGGATTTAAAATTTACAGCTCCATGAACTTTTATTTTTATTTGGGATTATTAAGTAATATTTGGAATTCGTCGCAGCGTACCATTTTTTAACGTGAAATGTAGTAGGTTTTAAGCAAAACATACTACCTATAAAAAAGTTCAGCAGTCTTGTCAAAAGACAAACATTTAAAGCTCTAACGTTTGAACTTTTGTTAATAAGTTTTTTGTTTTAAGTGAAATACTGCAGTTTTTATTTTTACTGCAAAGTACTTAGTTAAATCCTTGGGGCTTAATAGATATCACTCGCAGATTATTATTGATTTATGATCTTTTATTTGTTTTCTGGTCGACCGAAACAAGGTTATCTTGATCCAGAATTTGCCACACATTTTTTATACAAGTGTCCCATAATAGACAAACCAACATTAGTAATAATCTGCATGAAAGATTTTCCTCGCTTTTATAATACAACGTCTAATAAGAATTTAAAATGACATATACAGCCTGTTATTGAAAGGTACGTACAAAATAAAATCGGCAACTGGTCTCGAAGTATGGGTGCTAAAAGTTAAAAAAAGTTTAGGTAAAAGTGTTCTCCTTTTAGAGATAAACATTATTAAAATTTATGTCCAAATTCGTTGTACGCCTCTGATAAAAAGATTATCTTTTATTTC